TCTCTGCACAAAAGCCCCCAATTCTCGCCTGGCAAGAGAATTTAGCCTGAACTTTTGACAGTTCCGCTGTTTCTTTCCCTTCCTTTTCAGAAAGTTGCAGCTGGATCTCTCTCTCTCTCTCTCTCTCTCTCTCTCTCTTTTTTAAGGCCTTCCTGTCTGCAAACAACAAACCTCCACTTTTCTTTTGGCAAACTTCTTCCTTCCCGTTAAAAAGAGTTCCATTGAGGGTTTGCAAGAATGAAGGCTCATTCACCGAGCGCCTGCAAAGAGCCCCTCAAATTTTTTTTCACCTGGTCTTTTAGCAACTTCTTCCCACGTGCCTCTCTCTTAAAAAGGGATAGTTTTAATTCAGGGTTTGTTTGTTTGTTTGTTTGCAATCCAGAGTTTGTGGCTTTGCTGGTATGCAGTGGCCTTTTTGTTCTCGTTTATTTATTTTTTTTAATAGGAAAGGAATTGGAAGCGAAAAGTCACTTCCTCGGGTCGCTAAGTAATGGCTTTCCAAGCAGGAATGCTTAAACTGGAAATTAAATCAGGTTTCAGGCAGAATCTCTCTTTGCTCCAAATAAAATTTTCTTGGAAAACAGGTGAAATGCTTTCTTATTTATTAAATGGCAAGCAGCCTCGTTCCTGGAAATAGAAATACTTTCTATTTTTGTTATTTATTCTGATCCAACCAGCTCTCCTTACCCGGAAGTTTTTTTTTTTTTTTTTTAATAATAACACAGGGACCCTTGTAAACTGACCATAAAATTGGCTTCTGTAACACATTCTGAAATTGCTGCTGCAGACTTTTGTGTTATTTTCCCAAGAATTTTAGTAAAATTTATTATAAATATATTTTATATTAGAAATACAAAAAGAAATACAAGAGAGAGCTAAGAAAAAGGCAGATAGGGATGTAAAGAGAAAGAGAAGGAAAGGAAGGAGGAAGGGGAAAAAGGGAGGTGAAAGGAGAGGGGAGGGGAGGGGGAAGGAAGGAAGGAAGGAGGGAGGGAAGGGAAGGAAGGAGAAGAGATGGGAGGGAAGGGAAGAGGAGAGGAGAATAGGAAGGAAGGAAGGAGAAAGGAGAAGAGGGGAGGGGAAAGGAGGGGGAAGGAAGGAAGGGGGAGGGAAGGAAGGAAGGAGAAGAGATGTGAGGGAAGGAAAGAGGAGAGGAGAGGAAAGAAGAATAGGAAGGAAGGCAGGAGAAAGGGAAAGGGGAGGGGAAAAAGAGGGGAGGGGGAAGGAAGGAAGGAGGAAAGGGGGAGGGAGGGAAGGAAGGAAGGAAGGAAGGAAGGAGAAGAGATGTGAGGGAAGGGAAGAGGAGAGGAGAGGAAAGAAAAATAGGAAGGAAGGAAGGAGGGAAGGAGGGGAGGCAGGCAGGCAGGTGCCAAAAAACGTAAAAGAGCTGAACGTACTGCTGGAGAAGTCTCCTTTTGTCTAAAAAATGAGGAATCCTCACACCAAATCTTTACAATGGCAGCCTAAGCCGCCTTGTGATTTTGGCTTCAAAATGAGGTTGGTGCTGAGGAAAACTTTTTTTTTTTTTTATGGCAAGGAAACAAGCACTGATTAGCCATTATCGCTGGCTCATAATACTTCAAGAGGCTATTAAAGGTATGGAAAAGCAGCTCATTAAAAACAATAGCAGCCTCCAGGCTGACCGATTATAAACAGGCGAGATAATTCTCTCTTGGCTCATGGACCTCGCATTGCCTCCGTTTCTATTTTAATCACTTTCATCTAAAAGAGAAAACTTTTTCCTTTTGAACCAGGAAAGAGCTTGTTAGTAATACACAACCGCAACAATACACGAGCACACAATAGATGCAAACTCAAGGTAAACCGCTCCAAACTCGATTGCAGAAAATACGACTTCAGTAACAGAGGGGTCAATGCCTGGAATGCACTACCTGACTCTGTGGTTTTTTCCCCAAACCCCCAAAACTTTAACCTTAAACTGTCTACTGTTGACCTCACCCCATTCCTAAGAGGTCTGTAAGGGGCGTGCATAAGAGCACCAGCGTGCCTACCGTCCCTGTCCTAATATTCCTTTTTTATTCTTACTCTTTTCATGTATTCAAATTACGTTTATACTTATATCTGTTATCTTATATGTGTTTGATGAATAGATAAAATAAATAAAAATAAAATAAATAAAAATAGCACCAACAGGGGAAATGTTGAACGGGTCACTCCCTCGTTGCAAAGAGAAGTCGTGTAAAAATTCAAGTTGCACGAATCAATTAAAAATGGGGAAGCTTGGGGAAGAACTGGCAAAGTTGAATCCTGCAGTTCGAGCCATCCCGAGTTCAGCAGAGCATTAGGCATTCCCTCTCGCGGGAACTGAAAGTATTTGCTTTTAAAAGTATGAGCGGAATGGATGCCAATGGTAAAAAGGGAAAGCAGTATGCCGGTCTAGAATAGAATAAAATAACAGAGTTGGAAGGGACCTTGGAGGTCTTCTAGTCCAACCCCCTGCTTAGGCAGGAAACCCTACACCACTTCAGACAAATGGTTATCCAACTTCTTCTTAAAAGCTTCCAGTGTTGGAGCATTCACAACTTCTGGAGGCAAGTTGTTCCACTGATTAATTGTTCTAACTGTCAGGAAATTTCTCCTTTGTTCTAGGTTGCTTCTCTCCTTGATTAGTTTCCACCCATTGCTTCTTGTCCTGCCCTCAGGTGCTTTGGAGAATAGCTTGACTCCCTCTTCTTTGGGGCAGCCCCTGAGATATTGGAAGACTGCTATCATGTCCCCCCTCAGTCCTTCTTTTCATTAAACTGGACATACCCAGTTCCTGCAACCGTTCTTCATATGTTTTAGCCTCCAGTCCCCTAATCCTCTTGGTTGCTCTTCTCTGCACTCTTTCTAGAGTCTCCACATCTTTTTTACATCATGGCGACCAAAACTTCATGCAGTATTCCAAGTGTGGCCTTACCAAGGCATTATACAGTGGTATTAACAGTTCACGTGATCTTGATTCTATCCCTCTGTTTATGCAGCCTAGAACTGGGTTGGCTTTTTTGGCAGCTGCTGTACATTGCTGACTCATAGACTGGAGGGAGGCGGGCATGCCGGGAGGGGCAGAGTAGGTAATTCTGGGACTTGTAGTCTCAACAGATTTGGAAGGCAGAAGCACGGAAAGTTGACCTTAGAAGAGAATATTTATAAGCTCAGGGTTGGACTGTGGGGGTCCTTGGTGCTCTCTGAGCTTGGTTGTTTTCTTGCAAACGTTTCGTTTCCCCAATAGGTTATATCATCAGTGCTAGAAGGGAATGTGGAAAGGAGGGGAAGGGGGGATCCTTGGTGCTCTCTGAACTTGATGTCAGCGTCCCAGCACTGACATATAATAAAGAGAGGAGAAGCCTGAACTTTTGCCTGCTAAATCCCTTTGAAGATTCTGTCTCCTCGGAGATGGGAGAGGGGGGAGACATTCCTGTGATCTTACAAAGAAGGGATCAGGGAAGTGACTTGGAAGATAGCCAATGAGAAGCAGAGAATTGGGGATCGGAAAGGGAGGGATTGGGGGGGGCAAAGGTCAGTACTGACCGCGAAAGAGCCAGGATCAGATTGCTGTGCCCGAATAAAGAGAAAATTTCCTTAAAGATCGGCAGTTTGGAAATTCATTTATTTTGAGATAGCATCGAAACCTGACAGATACTTGGTTGTCTTCTTTCAAACATTTCATTGCCAAACTTGGTAACATCAACAGTGCTAACAGGGAGGGGGTTTGAGGAGGAGGAGGAGGAGGAGAGGAGGAGGAGGAGGAGAGGAGGAGGAGGAGGAATACGACCATGGGGTGCTTGGTGCTGGTTGTTTTCTTGCAGATATTTCATTGCCCAACTAGGTAACTTCATCAGCGCTGGGAGAGAGTGGGCTTTGCTCTCTGTTTATATACAAGTGGCCTGTCAGTGTTGGTGGGACAATCAAGGAACTACCAACTCAGACAAACCAACCATAAACCATAGCCTAATCAAGGAACCCACCAAGAACACTCCCACCAACACCGACGGGGCAAGCCATTTGTATATAAACAGAGCACAAACCCTACTCTCTTCTAGCCCTGATGATGTTACCTAGCTGGGTCATGAAACGTCTGCAAGAAAATCGCCACACTCAGAGACACCCCCCCCCCCCAGGACCCCAGAAGTCTCCCTTAGCCACAGGCCTTATGGAGTCCCTCCATCAACTGTGGAAGTTAGCTGAAGGGCACGAGATCTTCAAGTTAACCCATCAAAACATGGGCCTAACCTGCATGTATCCAAATTTACAACCCAAGTGTTGGCAATGTGAGTGTGAAGATGCTACATATTTTCATATATGGTGGACATGTAAAAAAATTAAGGCTTTTTGGATAAAAATATGGTGGATTATTCAAAAAAATTTTAAGGAAAAAATTAAATTTACACCACAGTTTTTTTTTTTTGTGGGAATAGTCACGGATTGTACTGTAATAGAGACTAAGTTGGTTTTGAATTTAATAACAGCTGCCAGGTTACTGGTGGCACAGTACTGGAAGAAGGAAGATCCACCCACCATTGAGGAATGGACACTAAAAGTTGTGCATTTGGCAGAAATGGCGAAAATTTCATCATACCTTAAAGATCATTCAAATGAAAGATACATATCAGAATGGAGAAGATGGATTGACTATATGCAAAAAAAGTATCCGAACAAGAAGATTCATATAGCTTATGAATGAAATATTTTTAAGTAGTTTATGTTTATAGTTCTTGAGTTATAAGGAGTTAAAGACTTAGGAGAATATGACTGCAATAATTTGTTAGCATATATTAGCTTTATGTTTGTGAATGCTATACCCTGTGCCTGTTCTGGGAAGTCTAGGGAGGGGGGGAAGAAGGGGGAGGGGGAAAGGGTGAGGGGGGGGAGAGAGAAATGTTTGTATTTCTTAAAACTTTTTAATAAAAACAAACAAACATGGGCCTACCATCCCAAACACAAGGAAATGCACCGTGGCCTCGTTTCCACAACTTGGGATTTGGGAAGGGCTTTCTCACCTTGATGTGTCTCTTGTGGAGGTTTGGGGCCGACTCACAACTGTTGATTTTCTCCCCACGGGTCCACCTTTGACTCAGCAGTTTGCCTCGGAATTCATTTTCTAAGGAAGAGAAGAGAAAGTGCAGGCCATCAGAAAGGGATATTTGTAGCTCAGGGTTGAACGATGAGGTCCTTGGTCCTCTTTGAGTGACAGACATTTGACTATCCAACTAGATAACATCATCCGTGCTAGAAGGCAGGGTGGAGTAGAGGGGAGGGAGAGGAGGAGGAGGAGTGTGGGGTTCATTTGTACTCTCTGAGCTTGGTTGTTTTCTTACAGACTTTTTATTACCCAACTAGGTAACATCATCAGTACTAGAAAAGAGGGAGGAGGAGGAGGATTGTGGGGGTCCTTGGGGTCTCTGTGTCAGGTTTCGATGTCATCTCAAATAAATTGCCCTCCCAAACAATTAATCTTTGCTGAAATATTCCATTTATTGAGTACGACAGATCTGGCCCCGACTTCGTCGTAGCCGATACTAACCCTCTGACCCCCAAACCCTTCCCTTTCCGTTCCCCAATTCTCATCTTCTCATTGGCCATCTTCCAAGTCAGTCTCCCCAGCTTCTGACCTCAACCCACAGGAATGTGCCCCCTCCCATCCCATCTCCTAGGGGATATTATCTACAGAGAAAATAAGTAGGTGAAAAGTCAAGCCTCGTCTCCTCCTTTTTATGGCAGCATCAGAATGCTGACATCCTGAGGTTGGTTGTTTTCTTGCAGACATTTTATTACCCAACTAGGTAACATCACCAGTACTAGAAAAGAGGGAGGAGGAGGAGGATTGTGGGGGTCCTTGGTGCTCTCTGAGGTTGGTTGTTTTCTTGCAGACATTTTATTACCCAACTAGGTAACATCCTGGTACTACTTGAGCTCTCAGCGGCCTTCGATACCATCGACCATGGTATCCTACTGTGATGACTCGGGGGGGTTGGGGGTGGGAGGCACTGTTCTACAGTGGTTCTCCTCCTTCCTCTCGGGCCGTACACAGTTTGTTTGGGTGGGGGGTCAGAGATCCTCCCCGAGGCCCCTCACTTGTGGGGTGCCGCAGGGGTCGGTTCTCTCCCCCCTGCTCTTTAACATCTACATGAAGCCACTGGGTAAGATTATTCGCAGTTTCGGGGTGAGGTATCATCAGTCCAAGACTGAGTGGCTGTGGATGCCGGCTTCTCATGATCTAGTGTCCCCATCACTTCGGATGGAGGGGAGTTACTTACTCCCTCTGAAAGGGTTCGCAATCTTGGCGTCCTCCTCGACTCACGGCTGTCCTTGGTGGACCATTTGACGGCCGTGACAAGGGGGGGCCTTTGCACAGGTTCACCTGGTCCGCCAGTTGCACCCTTTCCTAGACAGGGATGCCCTCCCCAACCGAGAGATAATGAGAGCATGAGTACAGTCACTCATGCTCTCATTATCTCTCGGTTGGATTACTGCAATGCCCTCTACATAGGGCTGCCCTTGGGGTGCACCTGGAGGCTCTAGCTGGTCCAGAATGCGGCCGCGCGGGTTGTTAGGGAGCTTCCCGTTACTCCCGTGTAACACCACTCCTGCGCGAGCTGCACTGGTTGCCGGTGGTCCTTCGGATCCGCTTCAAGGTGCTGGTGCTTACCTATAAAGCCCTTCATGGCATGGGCCCAGGGTATTTGCAGGACCACCTCCTACCGGCCTCCCACCGCCCAGTGCGCTCACAGAGGATTGCCCTCCTCTGGGTGCCATCGGCCAGACAATGTTGGCTGGTGGCGCCCAGGATGAGGGCATTTTCTGTGGTTGCACCGACCCTCTGGAATGAGTTACCCACTGGGCTCCGGTCGGCCCCCGACCTCCGCACTTTCCGCGGCGACCTGAAGACATGGCTTTTTCAGTAAATTCCCTGATCTGCCGGGAATTTTAATTGCTTGGGGATTTTAAATTGGATTATTTAAATACCATTTTATTGTCGTGTTGTTTTATCTTGTGAGCCGCCCCGGGTCCTACGGGAGAAGGGCGGCATATAAATACGATAAATAAATAAATAAACATCATCTGTTTTAGAAGGGAATGGGGTTTGCACTGATGATGTTATCTAGATGGGCAATGAAACGTCTTCAAGAAAACAACCAAATTCAGAGATTACCACGGACCCCAGGCATACAATCAGTAAGGAGCCAGGGAATTTTTTAATATACCCTGTACCTTGCTTGTCAGACGATCACAAAAGGGGATCACATGAAGCTGCAACCGTCATAAATATGAGTCGGTTGTTAAGCATCCAAATGTTAATCACGTGACCACAAGAATGCTGCCATGGTCCTAAATCAGTGGTGGGTTTCTACCCGTTTGCCCCGGTTCTGACGAATTGGTAGCACCGGCAGGAGGCTCCGCCCACCTGCCCAGACGTCATCACGGACGCTCTGTGCAGAAGCTCCGCGCGCGAGCAAAGCTAGCGTGCGCATACACGCACTCACAGTTCCGAACCAGTAGCAAAGGTAAGTGAAAACCACTATTGTCCTAAGTGTGAAAAATGGTCCCGAGTCACTTGGTCCAATGCCATTGTAACTTGGAACGGTCACTAAACGAGCTGTCGTTACGTCGAGGGCTCCCTGTATCGAAGGGGCTGTCTTAGCAACTCCAGATATTATGCCCCCCCTTTCTTTCTTTTTCTCTTCCCCTTGTATCTCTCACTCCCCCCCCTTTCCCCCGCTCCCTTTCCCTCCCTTAATTTCCTATTTTCTTATCTCCTTTGTATTTTATGTAATAAAATAAAAATGATCCATTAAAAAAAAAAAACAAGAAGAAAAACTCCAGATATTGAATTGTTTATAAGCTAACAAAACGGTGGATTCTAAAGAGACATATTCAGTTTCAACAAAATGCTGATTCATGGACCATCGTGGGGCCGTGGGTACCCTTGAAAGAAAACTGCCTTGTCAGCTTAAAAAAAACCATTTGTAAACTTTCGGCTTGTCTGCATATTTCCGAACGCATCGACTTGCTGGATTTTTTTGTTCAAGGAAGGGCACCTGCGGGAAGTCCAGATGATTGTTGTGACCATGTGACCATCAAAGTCCTGCCCCCCCACTTTATTACAGGGCATATGTAAAATGGGGGGGAGGGGGTTTGCTACCATCTTGACTTTTTTGACCTAGCTTGACATCCCTGTTTCTATATCTAATCTTAAACATGTATTCTCTAACCTAAAATAAAATACCTTTTCCTTATCGCATGTATTTCACGTTAGCCTTTGACTTAACAACCGTTTGTTTTCAAGTTAAAGCAAGACTTGGAAAAAAGATGATTTGGAAGTGGTCCTCGCATTTGCGACCATCGCACCATCCTCAAAGTTCAAATTTGGGTGCTTGACAGACAACCAAAGGTGGGTTTTAGCAGGTTCTGACCAGTTCTGGAGAACCGGTAGCGGAAATTTTGAGTAGTTCGGAGAACCGGTAGTAAAACTTCTGACTGGCCCTGCCCCCATCTATTCTCTTCCTCCCAAGTCCCCACTGAGTCCTTCGGGAGTAGGGCGGTATATAAATCAAATAAAGTAAGTAAGTAAGAAAGTATCTGCAGGGTCTCTGCCGGAAACCTCAAAACTCCCTAGTCCTCTTCCCAGGTTAGCTGCTGGGGAGAGGGAACAGAAAAGAGCCAGGTTTGATGGGCCTTGTTCACAGATCATATTATGCCTTGGTTCATTTAACCATAGTTTGTTGTAGAAACCATAATGGGCTGATTCACACCCGATTTGCTGCATTCGTTAGCAATAATGGCCCAGTGGGATGAAGAAACTGCAAATTGCAGCCAATTTGAGCCTCGAGGCTTTTCTAGGTGGAAAGACAAAAAAAGAAAAAAGGCATTAAGCAAAATGACTTGTAAAAGCAACAACAAACCAAAAGCGACTCAGGGAAGGTTCCCGGCAAAACAAACTTTTGTCGTTTGCCAGCAGACGAGGAATATTTGCTGCTCGTTGTTCCATGTTGCTCAGACACCTATTGTACTTCGTATCCTACATTTCAACTTGGCAGTCTTAAGATGTCAGCGCTTCAACTCCCAGAATTCCATGCTGCTGAGGGAATTCTGGGATTTGAAGTCTGCCCATATTAAAATTGCCAGGTTTGAAGAACACTGGCCTATAATCTACATCAGGAGTCTTCAAATTTGGCAAATATAAGACTGGTGGACTTCAACTCCCAGAATTCCCCAGCCAGTTTTAAGACTTGTGGACTTCAACTCCCAGATTTCCCCAGCCAGTTTTAAGACTTGTGGACTTCAAATCCCAGAATTCCCCAGCCAGTTTTAAGACTTGTGGACTTCAACTCCCAGAATTCCCCAGCCAGTTTTACGACTTGTGGACTTCAAATCCCAGAATTCCCCAGCCAGTTTTTAAGACCTGTAGACTTCAACTCCCGGAATTCCCCAGCCAGTTTTAAGACTGGTGGACTTCAACTCCCAGAATTCCCCAGCCAGTTTTAAGACTTGTGGATTTCAACTCCCAGAATTCCCCAGCCAGTTTTAAGACTTGTGGACTTCAAATCCCAGAATTCCTCAGCCAGTTTTAAGACTTGTGGATTTCAAATCCCAGAATTCCCCAGCCAGTTTTAAGACTTGTGGACTTCAACTCCCAGAATTCCCCAGCCAGTTTTACGACTTGTGGACTTCAAATCCCAGAATTCCCCAGCCAGTTTTTAAGACCTGTAGACTTCAACTCCCGGAATTCCCCAGCCAGTTTTAAGACTGGTGGACTTCAACTCCCAGAATTCCCCAGCCAGTTTTAAGACTTGTGGACTTCAACTCCCAGAATTCCCCAGCCAGTTTTAAGACTTGTGGACTTCAAATCCCAGAATTCCTCAGCCAGTTTTAAGACTTGTGGATTTCAACTCCCAGAATTCCCCAGCCAGTTTTAAGACTTGTGGACTTCAACTCCCAGAATTCCTCAGCCAGTTTTAAGACTTGTGGACTTCAACTCCCAGAATTCCCCAGCCAGTTTTAAGACTTGTGGACTTCAACTCCCAGAATTCCTCAGCCAGTTTTAAGACTTGTGGACTTCAACTCCCAGAATTCCTCAGCCAGTTTTAAGACTTGTGGATT